CCAAGGCAGGCTACTCTGTTGTCTTCTCCATGGACCAGTTTTCTATTGCACATGTAGAAGTTAAATATGGACTTTATTTCAGGCAGCACCCTTCCCTCTTTGATGAAATGATGCAGCTGTGATCAATGCCTTGGGAGTTACTTTGTGTTCAAAGACAGGACCATCAACTAGTCAACGAGTAATAAATTTTAAAAGTCAGTTAGAAGTAAATTATCTATTTCTGTATACTCCAGTAAAGCTGTTTCATGGCGATGTCTGTGAAGACTATCATGACTTCACCTAAGTTGTTTGACAGATATTCCCCTTCCTGCTATCAGCAGCTTCAATGGAATATTAAATATTGGTATTAAAGCTGACCTGCAGACTTTCTTAAATTAACTCTTACATCTGTCTAATATCAACATAAACCTGCTATTTCTACATGTAATATATTAGAATACCCATTTCCTATAGAAGCAGCAAGTCAGGTAGCTTTTGGTACACAGACATGTTTAACTAAATCTGTAGAAAAAAATCAGTGCTCAGTACAAAAGAAAAGGTTAAAAACAAGGGACAAGTTTAAGTCTAGCCTAGTGGAAGTGCAATATACTTCATAACTCCAGACTTTTGCATTGGAGGCTCTAGCAAGATTATAAAATTAATGACCAAACCCAATATGAAATAGTGAGGAGTTTCACAGGTACTGACTTTCATAATTACAGGACTTTTGCCCCATTCCTGAGGCATGTGATCATCTCTCCCATTTCTCATCTTACTAACTTTGGTGTTATTGCCAGACCCAGGGCAAGAGCTACTCCAGCAGCAAAAGTTACCCTTGTGATGTGGATGACAGGGTCCCCTAATTTATCAGTCATCAGAAGTCCCTAAGATTATATAGGTTTTAAGGTTGTCCTTGGAAGAACCACCATGCTGGATAAGGGGAAGGAACATGGGTGGCTGCTCTGTACAGAATGGCACAACATGTGCCTATTACCACCTTTCTGCTATCATCAACTGCATTATGCTGATTGCTCCATATTCTGCAGAACATGACCTCAGTTTGACATAAGTTAGCTGTCAGTAAAAAAGCCTGTTAGCTATTCTTTCTGTCATATTATTTTTCTCCCTTAACTAAATTATCTTTTTATTTTTGAAGTTCTTCAGACACACAAAAAAGGCATTTCCTATGGGATGTAAAGTATGTACTCACACCTCCTAGCCTGTCCCCTTACCACTGCGTATTGCTATTCTCTTAGATTCAATAATTAAAGCAGTTTCCCCACATGCAATGAATTCTCTGCCTGGGATGTATGAGCACATTCAGGCTACATCCTTCTTGGGCCATAATTCTGACTAGAAAATTGACAACCTGCTTTAACTTCTCATTGGTGTTTTTTATCTCAGTAACCAAAGGGACTACTGGAACAACTGCCACCAAGAAGGGTGAGTACAGAGGCTGAATGAATTGCTGCTGACAGAAGCTGCAGAAGACCACGTGGTGAAGTTATGTTTAACAGCAGAATAGAAACTCATGGGTATTGCATGATTTGGGTATCTACCGATGTTTTGCAACTTCTGCTGCAGGTGATGTAGAGGGGGAATATACCCACCTGGCTCCATCAAGCTGATACAAAGTCAGGAGGATGCTCCTCCTTTGAAAAGTCCTTTTCTCCCCCTTTCCAGAGATAAACAGATCTATGCAGGACTGCTACTATCACTATGGTTACAGCCAGACTCTCCAGGAGCTTTGTTTGTACCACTGGTCCTGAGAGCAAGAGGGAGAAGCAAATCAACGTTGCTGGGCCTGATGCTGGCTTGGTCTTTAACAGGATGGGGTCTGAACCTCTGCCTGGGCAGTGAAGGCAGGAGGAAAGGACATTGAAGCTGGCTCTGGCTGAAGAACTGTAAGACCTGAGAATTAAAACTGGGAAACAACAACAAAAGTGCACAAATATGGTGAGATAAACCATAACTCGGAGTCCTACGTGCTTTACATCAGCCAAGACACGAACATCTCTAGTGCAGAATCCAGGTGTGGGGTGATGAATCAGCCTTTCAACATGCCTCCTCCTACCTCCATGTAGGTGCCTGAACGTGAGGTTAAAACAGACAGACTCTTTTTTTTCATTTCAAATTCAGTTAAAAACTATCTTTGAGCATTTGTCTCAAGATGGCTGTTCAGCTTGTCGTTAATGTACCTTCTCTATTTTGGGCCTTCATTATGAATTGAAAGCACAAACGCTCAAAAAAAACCCTCACAATTCCAGGTTATTCTTAACAGCAAGAACCCTTTTCAGTTGCTTATACAGACTCATCTAGACCTCCCGGTGCATCCCACCAGCCAAGCTGTGAACCTGGGTTTCACACAGCCACCACACCACACAACCTTGTCAAATGGAAACCCAAAGCCTTTGAGGGAAACCCACCTCCCCTGGGCAGCTCCCTCCATGGTCTCTCTTTATTCAAGATGGTTCCTATTTCTCGTGTGGCTTTAATTGCAAACCTGAATTCCTATTTTGTGGGGTCAGCTTATTTTTTTTGGGTGGTGGTGGTTGTTTTTAAACCCCAAAGCAATACAGCTTTTGTGTATAGCATCCTTTCACTCTAACTTTTAAGAGTACTGATATCTTCTTATCTCAGCCTCTTAAAGCACATTGCAGCAGAAAGATCATCATGCACCAAAAATTCAGACAACATGTTTGTTGTGAATGAGATTTGCTTGAAATACCTCTTGAACCCCTCGGGCTTAAGTGATCCTGGCTTTCCTCAACAAAATCTTCGCATGTGCAGTCAATGGAAGTACATCCACCGACCTTAAGAAGAAATAACAGAATACCATGTGGAACAGTACTGACCAAGCATGATACAGATGTAAATAAGATAAATTATTTTAGTGGGTTTTATTCATAACACTGGCTATTTGTTGCTGGATATGTAAGTAAGGGCAAATAAATTAACATCTTAAAAGTGCTTCTGTAATTGTTATCTTGCATTTTGTTCCCTTGTCTACTCTAAATCACGACTTGGCCATCTGCTGGCTTACAACCAAGATACTGGAGGACCTCTTTATTCTTTGCATTTAAATTCAGTTTGCAATACGTGAAATTAAAGTCAAAAGTACAATTAGTCTGACTTATGCTTTGCTTAAATATTTTGACAATATGCAGATATAAAATGTGCTGAGTATTCACAATCATAGCTTGTGATGATACAGACAAGAGGCTCAGAAGCTGCTGATAACAATATGGACTAGTGCAGCCAGTATCCAGACCTTCATACTGAAGATGTACATTTGACCTTAATAAAAAGCTGCATCACTAATTAAATACTCTGCCTAGTGTAAAGCTGAAAATTATCTTTCTTGTGGCGAGTAAAGCTACTCTAAATTTCTGGTGGGTGGAATCAGCAAACTGAAACTGTGTTTTTTTCCTTCTAGAATATACTAGTTAAAATGAAACCTTCTGGGTTTTTTAATGTCAAGCCATTCTGAACTACTGTCAGTATTACCAAGACAAGTTCATTCTTAATGCCAGTAATAGAACATGAGGTATCTGTAGATCCCAGCTTTTTCTTTCCTCTGAAATCAATTGGCACTATGACCACAGTAACAGACCAGGAAGTACAGAGGAAAAACTGCTTGTGGGCCTCTGCAAAAGTGTGCTTCCATCTCCCCTAAATCCCACCGTTAATGATGAGTTTCTAGAAAGGGAAGTTAACATTTCTGTGGTAAATGAAACACAGTTTCTAAATATCACTAAAATTTGCCTGTACTTGAACAGTAGGCTATAGTAACGCTGAGGAACACAGTGTTCCATTATCTTTCTGTGCAACTCAGGTGTTTATTCTTTTGCTCAATAAAGCTGAGAGGCACGGACATGTTCTTGCTATCTGAATATGAGCATCTCACCCAATGGGAACATTCAAAGTTTGCAGACCCCTAAGACTTATTGCTAACAGTCATCAATGTACGCTTTACATCTTTTATGAAATTAAATCCCTCTCCCTATTCAAACACTGTATTTGAGAAAACATTTGATTCTTGAAATCAAAAAGTCTCTATTTGCTCTGCAAAAATTAAAATTAACCAATACTGAAAGCCTAAAAATTCAAACGCTTATCTTCAATGGACCCAGGCACCATTTGAACAGTTAATTTGGAAGATATTTTCCATAGAAACAGTAACTTGAACTTTTGAGCATTGTTTTAACAGGATTCCCAGGCATTCAGGCTACCTAGGACTTTAAAATCTCTTGGTTATTAGGAAAAGAAAAATAAAGAAGTAGTAAAAAAGCTGCTGTTTCATACTGTCACAGACCACAATACTTCTTCAGTATTCTGCTCCTGGCAGAATAAATGAAACCGATACTGTATGTCTTTGTACACAAAAACAACCCAGTTATCACTTCACAGGCACTGCACATACCGTTTTCTTCAGCTAATTAATAATAGGCGTTCACATCGTTTTCTGAAATCTGTTCAAATGGCAGCTCCAAGTAATCCCTACCAGCACCGCTTCATTTAGACCCCACCCACTTATATCACTTTACCCCAGAACTAAGTTCAGCCAATTTATGGTAATAGATGTGCTCCGCATTTCTCAGTACTCCACAGATCACTCCACGAGGCTTCACTTACACGGTAAAATTGTGGCAGTGTATCGTTCCTAGCATAGCGCTGTGTCGTAACCAACACCTTTAGGATAGCTTGAATAATAGAAAGCAAGCCCTTCTGGGGACATACTTCAGGCATCTTTGACAACAATAGCAACATCATAGAAAGATTCTGGAGAAATCTAGTGCACATGCAGCTCTAGGATCCCTCTGTGTATTATTTTAAGCGTTAACCACAGGACCACACTGCAGACAGGGGACGTATCAGTGGCTTCAGCTCCCACCCTCCCCAGCCTCCGGGCCCCGCGGATCCTCAACCGGCAGCAGCACCCGGTGGGAGCACCCCCGGGAAGCGGCAGGCGAGGTGTGGAACGGGGTGGCGGTCCGGGCCGCGCCTCGTCGCACACCCACCGAACGGGCGGGCGGGGGGCGTCCCCTTTAAGAGGCGCGGCGGTGGAAGGGGGTTTTGCCCCGCGGTACCGGGCGGCCCGACCGCACCGGGTCACCTGACTGCGCCAGGCCACCGATCTGCGGCGGTAGCCGTAGCGCCGGTCTGCTTCTCTGCTCTCCTCTCTTCTCCGCTCCGTCCCGCCCTCTGCACCGGGGTAGGGGCGGCGCTGCTGCGGCAGTAGCGCGGGGATTAGGCTGCGGGAGGATTAAGCCGCCGGCTGGAAATAGCAGCAGCATCAGCAGCGGCGGCTCCCGGGCGTGGACACCCAGCGCATCCCCGGCGGCGGCGTCCGGAAGGGACGGCCCGCCCCACACCTGGGGCTATCGGGGCCGGGGGGAGGGAAGGGAGGGCTGCACCGTGGGGCGCCTCGGCAGCCGGCAGCGCGGTGGGAGGCGGCGGTGCCCTCCCCGGAGCAGCGGCAGGAGGACGGGAGGGAAGGACGCACTGACAGGTCGGCCGCTGGCAGTCGCTTCATCCCTTTCTCCCCTCGCAGACCCGCGCCGCCCCGGGCTGCTGCATGGCGCTGGGTGCCGCCGCATCAGCGACGCCCCGCTTCCCACCGGGGCCGGGGGGGAGGCACCGGGAGGGCATAACATGGCGCAACGGGGCCATAATCTCCCATCGGGGAGGCGGCGGGGCGGGCTCTGCGGCTGGGCCGGGGCGCGGCGGTGGCTCCTCCGCGGGCCGGCTCGGGGGGCGGGCGCTGCCGGAGCAGGTGTGTGTGTATGGGGGGGTTCTTTCCCCCGGCTCCCGCGGCATCTCACGCTATTTATGTGTAGCCTCCTTCTGCTCCCATCGTTATTTCCCCTTCATCCTTTCCCCGAAGCATCTAAAATACCCTATATTATTTTTGCCCTAGGCGGCTTCTAGGGAGGCGAAGGCTTACACAACGGGGCGGGGGGCTGCTCCTCGGGAAGGGCCGGGCTGCCTGAAGGACCATTGTGCGTGTGTGTCCGTGCGTGTGTATGTCTCTGTGCGCCCCCGCCTCCCGTCGGCGATAAACCCGGAATCTCCCCTTCCCCTCCCGTGTTTTCCGCCTCTGCAGAGCAGGCAGCAGCAGCAGGCACGCCAGTCGAAGATGTCGGGTCAGACGCTGACAGATCGCATCGCAGCTGCTCAGTACAGCGTTACGGGATCTGCCGTAGCCAGAGCCGTCTGCAAGGCCACCACGCATGAAGTGATGGGGCCCAAGAAGAAGCACCTGGACTGTGAGCACCCCTTTTATGTTTCCCCAGCGAAGGCCCAGGGTGAAGGAGGCTGACTGCCGGGCCGCTTAGAATGCCTTTGGGCTGCCTGACTGTCATGCTTTCAAACCATAAGGGTTATGAGAAATCTCCATGAGAGGATGAGTTATTATTGCATTTCTTCTCTTATTGCATAATGATGCTTTTTCGGCCATTTTTTTTTTTTTTCCTTATGACCTCTTGCCTTCTATCCAGGAAGGCAGTGTGAAGTGGAACAGGGGCACAGGAAGATGGGAGGGAATTTGGCACAGGGCAAAATGGACATGCACTTGTCACAGCTACTTTAGTCAGGATTAAGCTAGGCAGAGTCATCAGTGCTACTTCAGGAGCTGGCCAAGCACTGTCAGGAGTTTGGTGGTCCCCACAGCAGACTTGTGAAGATGTTTAGGTGATGGTGTACTTAAATGACAAGGCACTTGGATAACACTATGCTGTAGATTGAGGAACCTATGGAGAGTTTAAAGCCTGTTGTGCTGAGGTACCAAATATGTGACACAAACTTCATAGGCTGCCAACAGTTTGCATCACATTTCATTGAAGGTGGCTGGTGGCTTTGTATCATAGATTTATGATCTATTCCAGACTTCATAAAGCAATGATGAAGTCAAAATGTTTCATAGAAAACAATGAGCTAGTGATGTTTTGTCTTGTCAATTTCATTTCTTTTCAACCCACTCAACTGTCGGTCCCTGCTTGGAGACATCAAGGAGTAGAATGGTGAAGTAATTTAATTAACACCATGTTAATTGGCCTTGTTTACCAACTGTGTCCAGCATTGAGCTCAGTAGATCAAACGGCAAGTTTTACTGTCCCAGTTAAGTGTTTTTCCCATTGGATTTTTGGTTTTTTTTGGACATGGTACGAAATATCTTCAAGTAAAGAAAAGCAGGTTTTATACCAAGCTGTCCATTACTAAGTAATGCTGGTGCAGGTGCATGTAAGTACAATTCTGATGATGTTGTATTTCTTAAAAGGAGGTACTGTTACTTCTGGAAAATAGTTCCAGATTTCAGTTCTAATGACTTCATAGCTAACCCTTGAAGTGGCAAACGGCATGTTGTTCCTCCAGTATATCTGAATACTCATGTATGTGTTTCTAAGAGATGCTGATGTGAGCAGCATCGATTGAAGACTGACTCGAGCCTACACCGATGTTTAAATAGATCGGTGGTCCTGATATCACCATACATTCTCTCTTGTTTTCTTGTATATTTAAAAAAAATCATCGTGGTTACTGATGTCTTCTGTGTTTGGTAGCTATCAACCCTTCTTAATCTGGAGTTTGTGTGTGGATTGTCCTGCTGTATCTGATACTAGAACCTTTAGCTTAAAAAAAAAAGCATAGCTCATGTATTTAAAAGCATGCTGTGACTCTTGAGTGTATTTATACACACACGTGTGTATACATATAAATGAAAGTACTGTCTGGAATAGGCAGGATTAAATAGGCAGGTGCTATATTAAGGTCTGGAAAGGGATTGTGTTTGGATATTGATACATTTTCTGAAGTAGCAATATTAGCATGTGGGGGAGACTGAAGCTGGTAGCATTCCATGCAATTTCATGCCCACCTGCATGTGAGACACACAAGAGGAAGAGAAATTATCATTTCCTGGCAAGATATATCCCTGTTTATCTTTCTTTCTATTTTACAAGCTGCATGTAACAGTTGAGGGTTTAACTATCTGGTATTAAAGAGAATCTTGTCGGTGGGAAATACGCACATTCAAAATTGTGGACATAAGGTTGCAGACATCCGCAAAAATGAACATCAGGTTCATGCTTGAAAAGAAAACAATATTCTCAGGCTCTTAAACTGGAGGCTTCCCATAACTATAAATTGAAAGGCAGTTCCTTGAACTCTGAGGTATATCTTGTGGGCGAGTGTTAAAATGGGCTTTATATATTGTAATGAGGGAGTAAACTACAAGTTTATCCTCTGAAAGAGCAATGCCCCCATGTATGCAGGAGGTACTGCTAGGTGAAGGTAGCGCCGAGCTACATGGCTGCCTCTCAATTTGGATAAATAACATTGGAAGATGTGGAGAAGGGAACGAAAGGTAAAACTTGCCAATGCCTTAAGATGAGGTTTGAGTCAAGCTGTGAAGGATTTAGACAAAACTTCAGGTACCAGAGAGCAGTGGTTGGAGTGAAGCTTTATGAAGAGCTGTAATTCTACTATTGGTGTAGGGGTTCTATGTCCTTGGGGAACACCATAATTTTATTTAGTGTCATAGTGGCCAGGTGTCAGGCCACACAGCTTATCTTCCACTGCCCTGCTTAGCAACTGAGCTTTGTAAATTAAATGGAGAGATCAACTGTTTAACATGAATTAAGTAGTCATGTGAGGACAGACACAATGATGCCTGTACTCATCTGTTTTCTGCAGAAGATGTTAGTTACAGAGGGTTATGGAAAGATGATAAATGACAAGGTGTGGGGGTGGGTATTTTGTTTGGTTTAGGTTTGGTTCTTTTTTTAGTGAGTACTGCTTAGAGGGAATTTGCTCTGAGGAATAAAAAGCATGATTTGGGTATGAGTGCATGCATGTGAAGAAGGGAGAGAACAGAATGAATGTCTTCTGTGAACAAAAACTGAGCTGCTAAGTGTCTACCTCTGTGTAGTTTTCTGTACTTGTGTAGATTTCAAATACAGGCATTAATATTGATATTGTGAAGTGGCTATCCTTTGGCTCTTCGTGCTGCACAGGCTTGTCATGCAAAGAAGTACTGAAGTATGATTAGGTTGCTATCATATACAGGAATGATTGCTGGGAAATTTCCAGCAACTGCTGGGAGTAGTACCAGGTGGCATTAAATGCATTTCCCAAGTCCCTGTGGGGGGAAAAATGGAATGTAAATCTAGGATGGTTTGGGCATGCTGTTGCAGTTGCAGTTGGCATGTTAGAGCTCTGACCCTTTTGGATGTAACCAAATCATGTCGTAAAGTCACCACAGTAATATGTATTCATCTCCTTAGGCTCACCAGGTTGTGTTAAATAAATTACAGTTAGATACTGCAAATGAGGGAGGTATCCCCATGAAGAAGTGGGGATTAGCAACTTGATTTTGATGCAGTGAGAAGTGCCATTGCAGAGTGGGTGGGTGAAGTAAATGGGCTACGTTAACAGTGTATAAACTGTGCTTCTATACAGCTGGGAATGTAATCCTAGTGCACAGCATAGAAGTTTCAATCTCGGAATTGTTCTGAAAGATGGGTTAAGGCTACACCAAGGGTTTAATTGTGTTGGGCAGTAAAAGGCAGGGGTTTAATTGTGTTGGGCAGTAAAAGGCAGCTTCCAGCCTCGGATGGGGTTGACTGGTGGAATCAACAGGGAGAAGCTTTTGGAGGAAGGAAATAACTTGACTTTCAAATGTTAAAGCACACAATAGATGAGGGAAAAATAGGTAGACCTGAACTCAGCTCCTTTTATAAGGGATGTTTATCAGAAACAGACTGTCAAGCTTTCATTTAGGGAAGTGAGTTGGAAACCAGTGAGGCTCTTGCATCTGTAGTTGGTTGTAACAAGTTCCTGATTCTGAAAATGATCAAAATGGCTGGGATTTTCCTTGACTTATTCTGTTGAGTGAATTGTTTTGCAGCAGGAGGAAGTTCTGGGCTGTGTATTCTAAAATGCCATGTGATGCCTCCTTACTTCTTCAAAATAATTCTCATAAGGTAGAAGGCCCTTCTGGAGGGCTGATCAAGAGCTGGAAGATTTTCATGAAATGTGGAAACAAAGCGGATGAAAATCAGGACTTGATTTTCTGTGGCTATGGAGATGACCCGTGTATGTGTAGTAACGTCTTTCCATCCTAATTTCGCATTTTGTA